TCAAGGGGACCGGACCCGAATTCCTGGCTTGTCTGGGGTGCGTTGCCTGTCCGGGGAGTGCTCTCGCATAACTTTTCCGGAGCCCACAGGCAGAGGGTTCAGGACCCCACGAGGCATCCAAGATGGTCCAAGACGGGCCAAAGCCGCCGAAAGATCGCTCCATGCCGCCTGAGATGGCCTTCAGACGGCCCTGAGGCCCCCAAGATGCCCCCAAAGGGCTCCAAGAAGCCTTCCAAGAGGGCCCCAGGAGGACAACATGATTGACTAACGCTTGGTTCTTGAACGATTTTTTGCGTCCTCGCCGTTTCGGGGCTTTGGACGCTCCAAGACAGCCCAAGAGGTCTTCAAGATCGCCCCAGTACGGCCCAAGCGGCCTCAGACGGCCAAAGCGGCCCCTCAGACGGCCCAAAAGGCTCCCAAGACAGCCCAAGAGGGGCCCAAGAGAGACCCCACAGGGGGAACACGAGCCTTCAGTCGGGCATGTCCCCCTACAGGCGGACTTTGGCGGAAAAAACTTCAAATACCCACAACAAATATTCGAACATAGTCAACACATCATAGAGAAATCGTCCCAGGATGCTGTTTTATATTAAAAAAATTGTTTTGAATATTCCTCCTGTGGAAAAACGTGCCCGACTTAACAAGAACCGACACTTCGAGCCTTCCGCCCCGAGACGGGCTGCGAGACCGCCGGCACGCCGCCGAGAAGCCCCCCAGAAGCTCCGGGAGAGGCCCCCAGGAGGCCCAAGTCAGACCTCAGCGAAGAGGCCCTCGAGAGGCCCCAAACTCGGAGGCGCGTAAACATGGATTAGCGATGCACAGCCCCAGAGGTCCCGACCCCATGCCTGGGGGCATTTTTGTCGCCCCTCATCTGCATTCGATGGTCCTGGGGCCCGAAGACGAGCCCCAAAGGTAACAAAAAAACAGGCAGCACCCCCACATCCAAAAAACAGGATCGCCAGCGATCTGGGGCCCTGGCCAACCCTCCCGGCGATTCCCTCCAGCCAACCCCGGTTAAGGTAACCGGGGGCGCGCAAACATGGATTAGCGAGTCATGGATTTGGCGCGCGGTCGCCAAATCCATGGGTCGGGGGAGGTGCCCTCCCCAAAATGCGGCCAGTGCCGCCTCGCACGGCGGCGGAAATCCGCGATTTCCCATGGAAACGGGAGCCGTCGCTAATCCACGCCCCCTTGATCCATGTTTGCGCTCGCCTGAGCAACCCACCTCCAACAGGCTGCTGAGAGGCCTCCCAAGAGATCCCCCGAGGCATCCAATAGGCCTCTGGCCCACAACCTAGGTACGGTGGCGGAATGGGCCGAAGGCCATTAGACCTGCTTGGCACGGGGACGGAAAGCGCACTTACTTTCAGAGCGCACGGGATCGCTGGTTCGTCCGCTCTTACACCTCTTATTGACTCCCTTCCCCTCGCTCTTGTCCTATCTCAGCGTCGGAGAGTCGCGGAGCTTTTTTTTGAGCGCGTTTCTTGTTTTGGAGGGGGCGGTCGGGTCGCGTTGCGTTTTCCGCGTTTGGGCTGCCAGCTTTCCAGAACCCCGCGTTGTCCTTGCGTGGACCGCTCGTTGTCCACGCGTTGCCGCCCGTCCCTGTGCCCTGGCTGCAAGAACTTATTACGCCGCAGCTCTCGGTTGGGAGCTTTGGTCTTATCAGCTCGATTACGTCACCGCTCGCTCTTGGGAGTCGCGGTGCTAAGAGCCTTTGGGAGTATTTTGAGCCTCTTGGGTGCCTCTTGGGGACCTTTTGGGGCTGTTCGGGGGCCTCTGGGAGCCTCCTGGGAGCTTCTGGGCTGCGGGGGTGAAGGGACCAGGCTGCCTTTGTCCGTCTTTGGGCTCTCTTGGGGGCCTCTCGGGGCCTTCTCGGGGCCGTCCTGGGGCCGTCTTGGGCCGTCTTGGCGCCTCTTGGGCCGTCTTGGCGCCCTCTTGGGCCGTTTTTGGGGCCTCTTGGTGGCCTCTTGGGCCTTCTTGGGGCACTCTTGGGGGCGTCTTGGACAGTCTTGGACGCCTCTTGGCCCGTCTTGGCACCCTCTTGGGCTATTTTGGGGGCCTCTTGGGAACATCTTGGGCCGTCTTGGGCCGGTCTTGGGGGCCTCTTGGACCGTCTTCAACGCCATGAAAGGCGAAAAGCCGTATATGTTAAAAACGCACGTTTTCCTTCAGACAATCAATGATTTTGGCCTCTTGGGGCCCTCTTGGGACGCCTCGTGGGCGCCTCCTGGGGCGTCGTGCAGGCCTCTTGGGACGTCTTGGGGCCGCCTTGGGCGGTCTTGGGCTCTCTTGGAGCGCTCTTGGGCCGTCTTGGGCCGTCTTGGGCGCCGTCTTGGCCGCTTCTTGGGCTGTCTTAGGCGCCTAAGACGGCCCAAGAAGCGCCCAAGAAGCGTTCTCCGATGATGTCTCGAGCGAAACGCTGTTTTGAAGCCCCGAAGGCCGTCCTACTCGATAAAAAAACGAGGCGGGAGGGCAATTAGACCTGCTTGGCACGGGGACGGAAAGCGCACTTACTTTCAGAGCGCACGGGATCGCTGGCTCGTCCGCTCTTACACCTCTTATTGACTCCCTTCCCCTCGCTCTTGTCCTATCTCAGCCTCGGAGAGTCGCGGAGCTTTCTTTGAGCGCGTTTCTTGTTTTGGAGGGGGCGGTCGGGTCGCGTTGCGTTTTCCGCGTTTGGGCTGCCAGCTTTCCAGAAACCCGCGTTGTCCTTGCGTGGACCGCTCGTTGTCCACGCGTTGCCGCCCGTCCCTGTGCCCTGGCTGCAAGAACTTATTACGTCGCAGCTCTCGGTTGGGAGCTTTGGTCTTATCAGCTCGATTACGTCACCGCTCGCTCTTGGGAGCCGCGGTGCTAAGAGCCTTTGGGAGTATTTTGAGCCTCTTGGGGGGCTCTTGGGGACCCTCTTGGGTGCCTCTTGGGGACCTTTTGGAGCTTTTCGGGGGCCTCTTGGGGCCTCCTGGGAGCTTCTGGGCTGTGGGGGTGGAGGGACTAGGCTGCCTTTGGCCGTCTCTGGGCTCTCTTGGGGGCCTCTTGGGGCCTTCTTGGGGCCGTCCTGGGGCCGTCCTGGGCCGTCTTGGCGCCTCTTGGGCCGTCTTGGCGCCCTCTTGGGCCGTTTTTGGGCCCTCTTGGGGGCCTCTTGGGCCTTCTTGGGGCGCTCTTGGGGGCGTCTTGGACAGTCTTGGGCGCATCTTGGCCCGTCTTGGCGCCCTCTTGGGCTATTTTGGGTGCCTCTTGAGAACATCTTGGGCCGTCTTGGGCCGGTCTTGGGGGCCTCTTGGGCCTTCTTCAACGCCATGAAAGGCGAAAAGCCGTATATGCTAAAAATGCACGTTTCCCTTCAGAAAATCAATGACCTCTTGGGATGCCTCGTGGGCGCCTCCTGGGGCGTCGTGGAGGCCTCTTGGGACGTCTTGGGGCCGCCTTGGGCGGTCTTGGGCTCTCTTGGAGCACTCTTGGGCCGTCTTGGGCGCTTCTTGGGCCGTCTTGGGCCGTCTTGGGCGCCGTCTTGGCCGCTTCTTGGGCTGTCTTAGGCGCCTAAGACGGCCCAAGAAGCGCCCAAGAAGCGTTCTCCGATGATGTCTCGAGCGAAACGCTGTTTTGAAGCCCCGAAGGCCGTCCTATTCGAAAAAAAACGAGACGGGAAGGCAATTAGACCTGCTTGGCACGGGGACGGAAAGCGCACTTACTTTCAGAGCGCACGGGATCGCTGGCTCGTCCGCTCTTAGTTCTCTTATTGACTCCCTTCCCCTCGCTCTTGTCCTATCTCAGCGTCGGAGAGTCGCGGAGCTTTCTTTGAGCGCGTGTCTTGTTTTGGAGGGGGCGGTCGGGTCGCGTTGCGTTTTCCGTGTTTGGGCTGCCAGCTTTCCAGAACCCCGCGTTGTCCTTGCGTGGGCCGCTCGTTGTCCACGCGATGCCGCCCGTCCCTGTGCCCTGGCGCCAAGAACTTATTACTGATCGCTTTATTTTGCCAGTGGCTCAGACTGCTTGAGGATTCGAACGAAGCACGGGCAAGCTAGGCTGGCTAGTGCGACACAGATCTGCTCAAGGTACCATTAAAAGGAGGCTTTGGGCTGGCGTGGGCCGAAAGAAGTGCCTTGAGCGAGAAGGCGACAGACATTACCAATCATTCTCGTGCATCACTTACATGATCGCTTTATTTTGCCAGTGGCTCAGACTGCTTGAGGATTCGAACGAAGCACGGGCAAGCTAGGCTGGCTAGTGCGACACAGATCTGCCATACTTCAACCTGAAATGAAATTCATCACTCAAGCATTGTGCCGGGGCTTAGCCCCGCATTCGTTTCCATCTTTCGGTGGGCTGCTGTGCTATACACGATCTGTGCAGCGTGTCAGCCAGGAGTGCGCAAAGGGCGGGGGGATAGGCGTTTTTGAGACGGGTGAAAAAGCCACCCCCCGAGAGGCAACCGGAGAGCTCCAGGTGGGGCTTGCCGGTAAAGGAGCAAATTCCTCTGCCTTTGCACACTAACTTCTCAAGACCAGGGCGCGGGCTGCACTTCCAGAGCCTTATCCGAGTGCGAGCACGAAAGGGGCGACCACAGGCACAGTAATCGACAACCCTATCACAGACATTGGGAAGGTTAGCAAAGGAGCGGCGGTCGGGGCGAAGCCACAGGAAACTTTGCCACGGGTTCTCCTCGCCGCCAGGGATATTCAACCTATAGCAGAGACGCTGAATACGCTGTGAGACCCACCCTACCTTGTTTGAGATGCGGAGGCTCTCGAGGTCTTTACCCGTGAGGCCCGGGATCCCAAGAGGAAAAGCGGGGCTCCGGAGAGCCGAGGGCATGCTGCTGGACAGGGGGGCCCGACGGGCCCTCGAGTAGCCGTTGCAGGGCGTCCCCAGGAAAACGAGTTTGACCAGACCCGACGTCAGCCATCCCCGGAGGATCCTCCAGACCCCCGGGCGAGTCAAATCAAAATGGTTTCCGCGTTGGATGTCCCATTCCACCACAGCCTCGCCTCTCGTCAGATGTTTGCTCAGAGCTCCACATCCTGAGAAGACTTCGACGCACGCACTTTTTTGATAGGGGGCGCTCCGAAATGCAGCCCCAAGGACCCGTTGAAGACGCCCACGAAGTCCCTGCCTGCTGCTCGGAGGGCTTCGCGCTGCAGGTAGCTGAGCTTGCGTAGTTCCAGCAGCAGGCGTCCGTGCTTCTCGTAGCGCAGCACGGACTTGCGCGCCTTCCACCCTCCTCGCTGATGCACGGCGCCTGAGCCTCTGTCGCCCGTGCTCTGGTCGCGGCTGGCCCCTCCACGCTGGAGGGGGCAAAGGGTGGCCTTGAGTAAGCTCACGCTCGGGGCAGAGGTCGCGTTCTGGAAGTCCTCCGCCAGTTGGTTGTAGCCCAAGACCAGGAAGGCGTGGGCCGGTTCCCGAAGGGCTCGCACAAGGAAGATCGGGTGCACCATCCACTGTTGCCTGGGCAGGTCGAGCCGAACTGAAAGGTCGTGCTCGCGGGTCTTGGTTGGTATCTCGTACACTGAGGCCCACATTACGACCGTCAAGAAGATCGACGTACATCCTTCCCTTGGCAGCGGCAGGACTACCTGCCCTGCTCGCAAAGCCAGCACTCTTGAAGGGCGCATGTAGGTCTCGAACCTGGTGAGAGCGGCCAAGCCACTGAGTGGGTTCCCCGCCCGGCACCGCCCGCAGGCCACCGCCAGCACCACCAAGAACGGGGCGGGCGGTCTGGATTTGGACGGGCCCAGGACGTCCCAGCCCTTCAGCGTCTGGTGCGCCAGGGGAAAGACCTCGCGGATCCCAGCCCGGCGGAGGGCGGGCGCCGCCCAGCGCAGCGCCGGGGTCAGCCGCTGAGCTGACGCCTTGGAGACCCCGCGGTCGTAGATCGACTCGGCGTACTCTCCCAGCGCCTCGCCCCACGTGAGGTGCGCCCAGTCCGGGGGGAAGGCCATATTCAGCCAGTGTGCCAAGCCGAGGATCATCCCGAGGTAGGGCCCCTGCGTGCGAGGCCTGCCCTTGGCGGAAGCAAGTCGGGTCTGGCGCGGGCGCAACTGGCCCCTCTTCTGGTTGAAGTCGCTCTCCGAGCGACTGAGGCCAAGCTTCGCGCGCCGCCCAGCCAAGTCTGGCCTGCTCTCGGGCTCGCCCAGCACCGGCACCACGGCCTGCCCCTGCTTGCCCTGGCAGCGGTTGCCCGGATGGCGAGGCGAGTGGCTCCTGCGCTCGCTCGGCGCGCGAGGGCCGGAGCGGCAGCTCGCCGAGGCCATCGGCGTGGGCGGCACCGCCTGGCGCGTCGCCACCTCCACGCACGCTCCCGGGGCCCCGAGGCTGGAAGCGGCGAGACGGACCGTCGCTCGGGTTCCACTCTTAGGGGAGCCACCTCACCTGAACCTTCAGGTCTGCGGCGACCCCCACAGCGAAGAGGACGCGACAGACTCCCAGGAGACGATGATTGGCTGCACGGCCTTTGGCGGCAGCGAGGGTGAGAGACATGTTATCGCCAAGAAAGAGTCGACACGAACAGTGCTCCCGTGAGTCTCTGGCCGCCTGGCGAACGGCCCATGTCAGAGCAGCCCCCTCGAGCCCGTGGATGGCCTCCTTGCGCTTCCAGCGGCCGCAGCCTACTACGCGCCAGGGCCGGGCATGCATCTGCTGGCCGTAGTCGACCTCCGGGAAGCCTGCCGAGCGCCCGGCCAGCAAGAGGGCGGGCTCTGGCGCCCGCGCTATTTCCTGCTCCAGCGTCCTCTCGCGGGGGGCGCCCTCGGCAGCGAGCGCGCCTCGGAACCGGGCGCGCTCGGAGACCCTGCCGACGCGCTGCGCATCCTTCAGGTCCCACTCGGTCTCCACGATGCCGTAGCCCCAAGGAGACGCGTCGAAGCAAGTGACCACCTCGCTCCACGGGCGTCGGGCGTCGGCCGAAGGCAAGGCAGCAGTGCCTTGACCCAGCCCATTTCACGGACCACGCTTTTCCAGAGCGGCTGCTTCTTGGAGTAGGACGCCTGCGCGAACTCGCATGAAGAGCGCAGCATGGCCAGCCCCTCCCGGCGCAGCATCAGGATGGAGACCAGGCGGCCGATCAGACGCTCGAGCTCTTGGCCAGAGACCTTGGCCCGCCCCGCGAGAACATGCTCGAGGGCGCCGTAGACCCGCCAGTGCCGGCGACCCAGCACGTGCCAGCAGCCCGTCTGCAGGTCGAGCTCGCATCCCAGCAGCTCGCCGCGCTCGGCTGGAGCAGGGTCTAGCTCTGAGACCACGCCCTTGGCCGCGAGCGCCGCCTGCATGTCGGCGACGGCGGTGGCGGCACGGGAGGGCGACTGGGACAGCACAGCAAAGTTGTCTATGTACAGGACCTTGGCATCCTCAAGGTTCAAGTCAATGCCGGGGCACTTGTCCAGGCACCCTGGCTGAGATGGCAAGACTGACTTGACGAGGTGAAGGTGTGCTTCTTGAATAAAGTGCACCGCCCAGCTCCAGCCCATGGGCACCACCTTGAATCGGAAGCGAACCTGGCCGCTCTTCAACGTCAGTACGCAGGCGCGCCGAACCTCTGGCGGCAGGAAGCGACTCTCGATCAGCGGGAGGTTGAAGTAGCGCCTACACCAGGGCGGCAGTGCATATTGATAGAAACAGCAGTCGACGTCTCCAGAACTCATGCCGATCATATTGACTCCCGACGCCTCCAGCGAGGACAAAGCCTCACCCGTCGCGAGTGCCGTGTGCTCTGGAGTGGTAAAGTGCATGTTAGGGGTCCTGGTGTCGCAGATGAGACGCAACCGCTTGTCCTTGCGAGCCACAAAAAAACATGCCAGCTTCCTCCAAAACCGGCTCCGAGCTGGCCTCGATCACCCCGGAGGTGTAGAGCTCCCCCAGCGCGTGGCCGTAGTCGTAGCCGAGCCGCCCAAGCTTCGGGCCCATGGCACGAGGAGCACCTGCATCACGAATTAGCGCTGCTGCCTCCTCTGGGGATCGCAACAGCCCGCGCCCAGTCTCCAGCTTGGTCTGCAGGTCAGTCGGGAGGACCTCCGTAAGAGCCACCTTACCCGCACCGATCTTGGGGAGAGAGATATTTCCCCGCTGGTAGACTGTTCGAGAACCGGAGGCCTCGACTTCAGAGTAGCCAGGCCTGAGACCCTGTAGCGTCGTCCACGCTTCATGGGGACTTGGGCGATCAACGGGCGGCGACCACTTGCCGTAGGTCGTGGCCAGCCGCCTCACTGCAGCACGCCGGGCCGCAGTCAGCGGGGCGGAGGCGGGCACATGGCGCCCCTGCCCGCCCAGCTCGTCGAGGGAGGCGATGCCGTTGAGAAGCCACTGATCCTGCCGCCTCCTGGTCGCAGCTCTCCTCCGCGCTGCGAGCGAAGTGCCCCATGCAGCCCCACCGCTCAGCATCGACATCAGCTCCGGACCATTTGGGATAGGAAGTAGGTCTCGATGGCGCCCTCCACCGCCTTCGTCACAAAACATAGTGCCGCATGACCAGCACCTCCCCTTGAGAATAGTCGACCGCTCGGGGGCAGGCGGGCGACCAAGCCACTTCGATGTAGGGATGGGGCTAGGCAGCCCCGTCAGCACCAGCCAAGGCCTTTGCTTTTGGCTTCGGCCTGTCTGTGCCGTTCTCGTCCACACTGCCTCGAGCAAGACTCTTTTCTTCACGTCCTGTGCGGCGCCCTTTGAGTGCTGCTGCCCCCCCCTGATGGCGGGCTGCCACCCCGCTATGCAGCGCGGGGCAATCCACAACTCCTTCACGCCCACGTTCATGCCCCAAGAGGATCTCGCGCTCGTCGAGCAAAGCCGAAGCCCCAGCAATGCAAAGTGCGCCCGCCTCGTGTTCGCGAAGTCTGTTAGCATGCTGCTGCACCACCCCGAAAGTAGTCCGCGGCACGCAGCCCGGGGAGTCCAGCTGCGAGTTGGAGGTCGCGGTGCCCCCTGACTCAGCGAAGATTCTGACCCCGTTGCAGCCGCCCCCGTACTTGACGAGGAAGGTTCGAAGAGTCTGCTCTGCAGCTTGGCGGTCCTGCCAGGCGGCGGGCGTGCCCTCGTGTCGGCCTTCGCGACTGCCAGCTTGAACCCGTCGGCAGGCTCGCAGATGCCCCCATCCCCGACAATGGCGCCGGGCATGGTGCCTGCTTGAAGCCCGTCACCTGGTCGGTAGCCAGCGCAAGCCTCCTAGGCAACCCAGCGAGGAACATCACCTGTGTCAGCGCGATCCACGAGAGCACAATCGAGTGCAGGCGGAGGCGCGAGCGCCCCTTGTGGCTCCTCGGAGAGGCCCTCCTCTTGGCAGATCTCGCGAGCGAGCTGCTTGCCTTCGCTGAGCAGCCCCCCCTGGTGCTTCTTGAAACGGATGACGTCTGTGCCGAGGATGTGGCCCGAGAGCTTCGTGGGCAAGCCTCCAAGGGGGCCGACCTGACAGAGGCCCAGGGCGCCTGCAAAGTCTCCCTCGTAGATGTCACTGTGTGGCGTGACCACCACCCATTTGGCCGCAGTGATTCTGCTGACCAAACTGCATTCATGCCAGTATTTGTCCTCTTGATCGTAGTGGCCGAGGACCCATGCGCCCACCCCCAGGTTCTCCAGGGCCTTCGCCGTCCGCGATGCTGCCATGGACCACCGACTGGGTTTCTCCGCGGGCACGTCGTCGTCCTGTCCAGCCGAGGACCTTTCGAAGCACCGCGCCCTGGACCAGGCCGAGCACGAGCGAGAGGGCCGCCCCAAGCCGGGTATGCCCGGGCTCGGGGCAGGCTGGCGTGAATGACGGCTGCCCGTGCAGGTGCTCCAGTCCGCACCTGCGAAGCTGCCCCGTCAACAGCCCGATGAACGCCTCGTCGGGCGCGGCGTCGAGGAAGCAGCTGCAGTCGCACCCGCTGCTGCTGCTAGGATCCAGGTGCCCAGCGCCTGGTCGCCGACAGCCGCGACCTGATGAGCTCCCGCCCGGAAGAGGGCTGTGGCCGTTCGGAGAATGAAATCCCGAAAGAAGTGCCTTGAGCGAGAAGGCGACAGACATTAGCAATCATTCTCGTGCATCACTTACAGTCGCAGCTCTCTGTTGGGAGTTCTGGTCTTATCAGCTCGATTACGTCACCGCTCGCTCTTGGGAGCCGCGGTGCTAAGAGCCTTTGGGAGTAGTTTGGGCCTCTTGGGGGGCTTTTGGGGAGCCTCTTGGGTGCCTCTTGGGGACCTTTGGGGACTTCTCGGGGGCCTCTTGGGGCCTCCTGGGAGCTTCTGGGTGGCAGAGGTGAAGGGACCAGGCTGCCTTTGGCCGTCTTTGGGCTCTCTTGGGGGCCTCTTGGGGCCTTCTTGGGGCCGTCTTGGCGCCTCTTGGGCCGTCTTGGGCCGTTTTTGGGCCCTCTTGGGGGCCTCTTGGGCCTTCTTGGAGCGCTCTTGGGGGCCTCTTGGACAGTCTTGGGCGCCTTTTGGCCCGTTTTGGCGCCCTCTTGGGCTATTTTGGGGGCCTCTTGGGAACATCTTGGGCCGTCTTGGGGCGGTCTTGGGGGCCTCTTGGACCGTCTTCAACGCAATGAAAGGCGAAAAGCCGTATATGCTAGAAATGTACGTTTCCCTTCAGAAAATCAATGATTTTGGCCTCGTGGGGCCCTCTTGGGACGCCTCGTGGGCGCCTCCTGGGGCGTCGTGGAGGCCTCTTGGGACGTCTTGGGGCCGCCTTGGGCGGTCTTGGGCTCTCTTGGAGCGCTCTTGGGCAGTCTTGGGCGCTTCTTGGGCCGTCGTGGGCCGTCTTGGGCGCCGTCTTGGCCGCTTCTTGGGCTGTCTTAGGCGCCTAAGACGGCCCAAGAAGCGTTCTCCGATGATGCCTCGAGCGAAACGCTGTTCTGAAGCCCCAAAGGCCGTCCTACTCGATAAAATCGATGCGGGAGGGCTATTCGGGGGGGGCATCTTGGGAACATCTTTGGCCGTATTGGGGCGGTCTTGGGGGCCTCTTGGACCGTCTTCAACGCCATGAAAAACGAAAAGGCGTATATGTTAAAAATGTACGTTTTCCTTTAGACAATCAATGGTTTTTGGCTTTTTGAGGCCCTCTTTGGACGCCTCGTTGGCGCCTCCTGGGGCGTCGTGGAGGCCTCTTGGGACGTCTTGGGGCCGCCTTGGGCGGTCTTGGGCTCTCTTGGAGCGCTCTTAGGCCGTCTTGGGCGTTTCTTGGGCCGTCTTGGGCAGTCTTGGGCGCCGTCTTGGCCGCTTCTTGGGCTGTCTTAGGCGCATACGACGGCCCAAGAAGCGCCCAAGAAGCGTTCTCCGATGATGCCTCGAGCGAAACGCTGTTTTTTAAAGCCCAGAAAGCGGTCCTACTCGATAAAAAACGAAGCGGTTGGGGCCTTCTTGGGGCCGTCCTGGCACTGTCTTGGGCCGTCTTGGCGCCTCTTGGGCCGTCTTGGCGCCCTTTGGGGCCGTTTTGGTGCCTTCTGCAGGGCCTCTTGGGCCTTCTTGGGGCGCTCTTGGAGGCCTCTTGGACAGTCTTGGGCGCCTCTTGGCCCGTTTTGGCGCCCTCTTGGGCTATTTTGGGGGCCTCTTGGGAATATCTTGGGCCGTCTTGGGCCGGTCTTGGGGGCCTCTTGGACCGACATCAACGCCATGCTAAAAACGCACGTTTTCCTCCAGACAATCAATGATTTTGGCATCGTGGGGCCCTCCTGGGACGCCTCGTGGGCGCCTCCTGGGGCGTCGTGGAGGCCTCTTGGGACGTCTTGGGGCCGCCTTGGGCGGTCTTGGGCTCTCTTGGAGCGCTCTTGGACCGTTTTGGGCGCTTCTTGGGCCGTCTTGGGCCGTCTTGGGCGCCGGTTTGGGCGCTTCTTGGGCTGTCCTAGGCGCCTAAGACGGCCCAAGAAGCGCCCAAGAAGCGTTCTCCGATGATGCCTCGAGCGAAACGCTGTTTTTAAGCCCCGAAGGCCGTCCTACTCGATAAAAACGAGGCGGGAGGGCAATTAGATTTCGGGCCCCGCGATGCCAACCCCCTCGAACTCCCCCAAGTCCAATTTCTTCCGGCTAACGGACCGCACGCTAACGCGCGCTTTCCGTCATCCGGGGTCCGCGGATGCCAACCCCCTCGAACTCCCCCAAAACCAATTTCTTCCGACTAGCGGACCGCACGCGAACGCGCGCTTTCCATCACCTGCTTGGCACGGGGACGGAAAGCGCACTTACTTTCAGAGCGCACGAGATCGCTGGCTCGTCCGCTCTTACACCTCTTATTGGCTCCCTTCCCCTCGCTCCTGTCCTATCTCAGCCTCGGAGGGTCGCGGAGCTTTCTTTGAGCGCGCTTCTTGTTTTGGAGGGGGCGGTCGGGTCGCGTTGCGTTTTCCGCGTTTGGGCTGCCAGCTTTCCAGAACCCCGCGTTGTCCTTGCGTGGACCGCTCGTTGTCCACGCGTTGCCGCCCGTCCCTGTGCCCTGGCTGCAAGAACTTATTACGCCGCAGCTCTCGGTTGGGAGCTTTGGTCTTATCAGCTCGATTACGTCACCGCTCGCTCTTGGGAGCCGCGGTGCTAAGAGCCTTTGGGAGTATTTTCGGCCTCTTGGGGGGCTCTTGGGGAGCCTCGTGGGTGCCTCTTGGGGACCTTTTGGGGTTTCTCGGGGGCCTCTTGGGGCCTCCTGGGAGCTTCTGGGTGGCGGGGGTGAAGGGACTAGGCTGCCGTTGGCCGTCTCTGGGCTCTCTTGGGGGCCTCTTGGTACCTTCTTGGGGCCGTCCTGGGGCCGTCTTGGCGCCTCTTGGGCCGTCTTGGCGCCCTCTTGGGCGGTTTTTGGGCCCTCTTGGGAGCCTCTTGGGCCTTCTTGGGGCGCTCTTGGGGGCCTCTTGGACAGTCTTGGGCGCCTCTTGGCCCGTCTTGGCGCCCTCTTGGGCTATTTTGGGGGCCTCTTGGGAACATCTTGGGCCGTCTTGGGGCGGTCTTGGGGGCCTCTTGGACCGTCTTCAACGTCATGAGAGGCGAAAAGCCGCATATGCTAAAAACGCACGTTTTCCTTCAGACAATCAATGAATTTGGCATCGTGGGGCCCTCTTGGGACGCCTCGTGGGCGCCTCCTGGGGCGTCGTGGAGGCCTCTTGGGACGTCTTGGGGCCGCCTTGGGCGGTCTTGGGCTCTCTTGGAGCGCTCTTAGGCCGTTTTGGGCGTTGCTTGGGCCGTCGTGGGCCGTCTTGGGCGCCGTCGTGACCGCTTCTTGGGCTGTCTTAGGCGCCGAAGACAGCCCAAGAAGCGCCCAAGAAGCGTTCTCCGATGATGTCTCGAGCGAAACGCTGTTTTTAAGCCCCGAAGGCCGTCCTACTCGAAAAACAACGAGACGGGAGGGCACTTATACCTGCTTGGCACGG